GGGCTTTGGGCAACCTGGTGTAGTGGAGGGTGTCCCTGCCCATGGCAGGGGGGTTGGAACTGGATGGTCTTTGAGGTCCCTTCCCGCCCAACCCATTTGATGAGTGAATGATTCATCTCAATGGGGAAAAACCTGGGCTTGTGCTTAAAGAGCATCTTTAAACCGTAACCAAGAGCAAACGCCCCCAGCCCTACTTTGCTGCCCCAAATCTGATCACAGCAGAGCAATTGCTGCACGGCCTTTGGCAGGATTGATATTTTTTCCAGCCAGGAAAAGTGCTGTGGATGGGGAATGACCCCTTTATACCATCCGCCAGCTCCCCCCCAGCGCTGCTTTGCTCTTAAATCAGAGCACAAACAAGGTGCTTTTGGGGTATGTTTGGGCTTAAACAGCCCTCAGCAACGCACCGGGGCCGTGCAGGGCTCTCCGTACGACGGAGCCAAGTCTGCATCTGGCAGGTAAAATAAAATAAACCTCAGGTGGGTTTTTTTTCCCAATAATTAGCTCGTGCTCGCTCCCACAAGCCATGTTTGTGCCATGCAGAGGAAACGTGGATTCTTGTAGGGTTTGTTGCAAAATTGAGGGGGATTATTCTTTACATTGAGAGTGGTGAGGTACTGGACCAGGTTGCCCAGAGAAGCTGTGGCTGCCCCATCCCTGGCAGTGTTCAAGGCCAGGTCGGATGAGGCTTTGGGCAACCTGGTGTAGTGCAGGGTGTCCCTGCCCATGGCAGGGGGGTTGGAACGAGATGATCTTTGAGGTCCCTTCCAACCCAAACCATTCCATGATTCTATGATTCTTTGATTTCCCCGGTTAAATCTGGGGAGAGAATGCTACAAGCTCGCCTTCGGCCTCACAGGGTTAGTGCATCGTCCTCTTCATCACCTCTCTTGACATTTCTCTCCCACGCAGGTCGCTCAGTACATCAAATTTGAGATGCCCGTCCTCAGGAGCTTCATCCAGAAGCTGGAGGAAGAGGAGGATCGGGAAGTGAAGAAGCTCATGCGCAAGTACGCCGGGCTCGGTGGCATCGAGGGGAGATGCTGAGAGTTAAGGACGTTGCCGGGGGGTGGTTGTTTCGGTGCCCAAAATTCACCTGCGCAGCCTTGTGTCCCTAACGCACGCGCGAGCCGTTGGGTTTTGAGTTATCCCAGGGTTTTCTTGGCAATTCGGGTTAAAAAGCTCAGCTCGGGGCTGCAAAACTCCTCTTTTCCTTGTCCTTCACCTCTCCAGATACTCCATCCTCCGGCTGATGATCCAGCAAAGGCTGGAGGAGATTTCCGACGGTCCGACGGCGATGTGAAACGTCTCGCCGGCGCCCTGGCTCCGGCTCACGTCGCGCGGAGAGCCGTTGGCTCGCAGGACGTACTGTACTGAATCCCAAACCTCCCCGACATTCCCGGAGTCCGTCCTGGATCACTCCAGCTCTGAGCCAACCCATCCCTCCTGCGCCTTCATCCGTGCAGCATCCTTGGGGGGTTCCTCCTCTGCAAATGGGATTTTTCCCAGCCAGGCTCCGGCCGGTGGCAACTTTGGCCAAAATCTCAAATCCTTGGAAATAACACGGAGGAGGCCAAAAAAAAAAAGAGGAAATCCATGAGCAGGATGAAGCTGCCGAGGACGGGGCCGAGAGAGGGCTGCAGACGTTCAAGAGCAGGAATTTTTGGGCTCAGTTTGGAGGAGGGACCTGCCGCTCGGTGACATGAGAGCACAAAGAATTCCTCTGGTCTTGGGGAAAAAAAGAAAAAAAAAAAAAAAAAGCACATTTCTATTGCAATAATTCACAGGTGTAAATCAAAAATTTACAAAAAATTTGTTGGTTTTTTTTTTTAACACTTTTGCTGCCGAAAGCCAGCCTGGGGACTGAGAGTTGGATTTGCAGCGAAAAAGTAAACGGCATTTTTCTGGCGCGTTCCTTTAACCTGCGTCTGGTCATGGAACTCCCTCCTTCCCCCTGTTTCTAATTTGCACTAATTTTAGGGATTTTAAAAAAAAAAAAAACAAAGCAAAACCCAATGTCAAACCTCTCTGGTAGCTGTGATGTGCCAAACAGTGCTCGCAGGGATAGTTTATGGTGCTGAGCATCCCAAGGGATGGTGCTGTGCGGAAAGCGGAGCGGGGGGCTGGCAGGAAGAGGGGGAGGCAGAAATAAAGAGGGGTTTATTTTGCAAGTTGCTTTTCGGTGAAACTGGGATTGGGACCGGCTCCGTTCTCACCATCACACCTGGAAAAAAAAAACATTTTCCTTCTGGGCTGAACCAGCAGTATCGATTTTATAGATTTTATACCTCGATGTGAACTAAAACTCTGACTTTCTCCCTGCTTTTGTACTTTTTTTTTTAATTTTGATGGTACCTTCTCCACCTTTAACGCGTGTTGGGGCAAGTGTTGTACAGCGGGGAAAGTTTTCGAGGTTATTTCAAGGATGACGGTGGCATCGCTCCGGCGAGTAACGAGCCAACAAAATCCGTAACGACTTAATACAGAACGAAACCTCCCCCGAGTTCGAGTCTGGTTTGTTCAAAATAAAGCACTTTGCGGGCAGAAACGCTGCGGAAACGGGCTCCGTGTGGGCTGGGAGCGACGATGGAGAAGAGCAAAATCCCGGTGGCCAAGTTTCCCAAGGAGAAACGCTCCCGCCCGGCAGGTTTGGAGACTCACGATTAAATCGCTGGCGGATTTTTAGGGCTGTTGGGGGCTTCATCCAGCCCTTAGCGACTATTCATCCCCGTGCGCCGTAATCAGCAGGATCCATCCTCTGGATATTTCCATTCCGGAAGGTAAAACTCACCTGGAGAAGAAAACTCGGCATTGCTTAGCCTTGTTTTAAACCCCATCAAGTTTTTAAACCTGATTTATTCCAGTTTTAGCTCCTTCTTGACGCGGAAGCTCTCGCCACCCCCGAGGTTATCCCCAGCCACGCTCCCCCAAGCCGCCGGCCCCGCGTTATCCGGCCCATTGGAGCCCATTTATCCCTCCCCACGTGGGGAGGGGGGGGGGTACGGGGGACGTTGGCTCCGCTTATCAAAGCTTTATCCGCTGGGAAAAGTCCGACGCGAGTCGAGCCCGACGGGCGCAGACGGGAAGAGCCATCGCCGGCGCGGCACCGCGGGCACGGGTAAGGGCAGCATCCTCGGCACGGGTAAGGGCAGCATCCTCGACGTGGGGTCGAGGGATAAAAAAAAACATGGAATTGGGTAGGTGGCAAGGTGAGAAGCGGAAGTTTTTTGGGACACACCTGAGCTGGAGGTCGGGATGGGGAGAGCAGCCCCGTGGAGGCACCGCAGCCTGCTCGGCCGCTTGGGCACCGGGGTTTTCCTCGGGTTGTGACCCATAAGCTTGGATGCCATAGGGGAAATAAAGAGGGGGGAGAAATAAGAAGGAAAAAATTCCCATGTCTTGATTTTTATGGAGTTTTCCACCCAGGTTTGCAGCGTTTCCAGTGGTGGTGATGCAGCTGCAAACAGCTGGAAGGGGGACATGTGCTTTTTCAGGCTTTTCTTAAAGTAAATCACATTAGTCAGAGGAGTGGGGTAGCAAAATGAGGCAAATTAAGTGAATCAAGCCCTATTTTTTATTTTTTTTTTCTGAAGCACCGAGTTTCGAAGTGGGGGGGTTGGTCAGGCCTGGCACCTTCTAG